CCTCCCTACTTTCCTCATTTAAAAAATTTGGAATATTAGCTACTTCGAGAAATAACAGTTAATCATTTGGATAAACCATGAGGCTTTCTTTATTTACTGTTTTCTTTCAAATCTTTTCCTAGCTATGCACAGTTTCATTTATGGGATGGAGTATGCTGTTTTTCTTCATATATCCAAATGCTTGCACAATTGGTTACACAAATAAGAATCAATGGGAAGTTGGTTGAATGAATGGATGGATAATTTGAAAGCATCATACCTAAGTCTAGTCACAGGATTATGCACACATACCAGAGATTTATACATCAGAAACTGTTGTTTCATTCAAAGTAGTTGGTTTGAGTAAGAAGACATACTCTAATGATGTGATCATTGCTTAAAACATTTTGGGAATGCAAATTTTGAAATTGCTTCTAAGCCTGTGGCACATTTTTTTTTTTAACTTCATCAAAAGTGGAAAATTTTCATCCATGGAGAGGGTAGGTTTTTTAAAATTATTATTACGACCAGAATCATTTAAAGGCCATGTACACAAAAGTAGCACATCAGATTAAGCAATATTATTTTTGGTTTGCTTCTCTCTACTATTAAAAATTAAAAAAAAAACCCGAGCAGACAAAAACAAACCCAGAATCATGAGGTGTGACTATTTCTTATGAGCTGACTTTGCTCACATTTTCCAAAATAGAATTTCTGGTTGTAGGCATGTGCAGTATGTATCTGATGCCAAGGGGCCAATGTATTTTCAGATGTGTGACTTAGAAAAATCATTACATTTATTAATATCTCACATATCTCTAATATGTTTAAACTAAATTTTAAATGCTATAGCTAACCTTATATATATAATTTTTAAAACTAGACCAATGACAGATAACTTTGTTATAATAGCAGTTTTTACTTACCTTTTGTTAGAAAGGGATGATATCCTTGGGTTTGAATTAGTTTATTCAGCCAAATAATTATCTTATAGAGACTCATTCTCCCTAGTCTATTTATTAGCACATACCTTGTAGTCATATAATTCCTACTTAGATGATCCTTACTCTAGACAACTAGGTTTTGCATATGTAAATTAGGAATCATTTTTTGGTTAATAATTTGTGTGTCAGAGTTAAGTGAAACAAAATATATAAAAGATCTGTGGTGTGTTTTCCAAGAGTATCTTGGAACAACATCTTGGTTTTTTTTGAAGAGTATCTCTCTGAGATATTAAAAAAAATCTGTTGTACAAATAAATTTTTAAAAGTATGATCAAAGAGAAAGGGACTCCTTTTATGGACTTTCTGAGTTTGATGAATTTCCTCTGGGTTAGTGGATTTTCTTTTTTTGAGGTTTAGGATATGTTTTAAACATAAAATAATCATTGCATTTAAAAGAGAGAGCCAGTGGAAATAAAAAAAAGAGTTGTTTCTAAATATCCAATGATTTCAGTGATTCATGAAAATACTTTTGTTTCCTTAAAAAAAAATTCCACATATGTACACTAATCATTTGGCCTTTTCCAGGCTTAACCCTTGGGGAGTTAGTGGTATTTGGCTCTTGTCAGAGAAGTCTCTTTCTGTCTCTCTCTGTCTCTGTCTCTCTATCTCTGTCTGTCTGTCTGTCTCATCAGACAAATCCTTTTCCTGATACATTCCTGCTGCAGTTTGGACCTGGCCAGCCTTCAGGTGGTGGCTTTTGGTTCCCACTATCCTTCATTCTTCTGCTTTATACCTTTGTTATTACCCAACTATAGAGGTTCAATTTAAATATTTACATTCCCAACACATTTATTTTAGCCTAATTACCAATAGCCCTGGTTAAAATAAGAATCTAAAAGTATCAAAAGGGCTCAGTCACTACCTAAAATGATAATTTAAAATTGTATAAGTGTTATAAAATTGAGAACAAGAAGAAAGCAGACACAAAATTTAAATAGCAATTGACTCATGATAACATTCACACCACCCTAATTTTCTTCAGAAACACTTGATAGTTTGTTACTTTCTGATAGCTGTGGTTTGGTAGTTATGGTAAATCATTTGCCTTTTTTTTAATGTGCACTTTTTCTATGTTCTGTATTTATTTGGTATTCACTTTTTGGAATAAAATGTCCTTAGTGTTAGAGTCAAAATCTCAATGCATTAGACCCTAGACTTCCAGAGTCAAGGTAAAAATATAATTTAGTTCTTATTTTTCTTAAAATGAACAATCAGTTAAAAAATACCAAATCTCTCAAATATTTTTTATGGATGTCTTATAAGACTCTAAAGAACTGCTAACAAAACCAAAATAATCAAAATAAGAACCCCATGTTGCTGTTAACTTCGAGGCACACTTTACATTTCATTACTACTGCACCATTGGAACAAATTGTCCCAAGGTGACTTGAGTCTGGAGTTGAGTGAAATGTTGAAGATTGACAGACATAATAAGGGTTTTCTGGTGGTTTATTGGAGATAAGAGTCTCATGGACTTTTCCTGCCCGGGCTGGCTTTGAACTGCAATCCTCAGATCTCAGACTCTTGATTAGCTAGCATTATAGATATGAGCTGCTAGTGCCAAGCAAAATTACGTACTTTTAAAGATTAATTTTTTTACCTAACAACATACACAGTATTCAGAAAATTATTCTGTCTTAAATAGACTGAAATTCTATAGCATAAATTCAATTGCCATCAACTAAAATTTAAGGTATTTTATGACTGCTTTTATTGATCACCATGCTATTTTACTTTAGTATCTGGATTTACACTTCTCAAATCATACACACATATACACACATAAAACTTTATTATATAAGAAATAATTGCTGTTAATTGAGGGTAAAATAAATACTTGGGTTTATAACACAGGCAAGAGTCTTTTTGAAAGAATAAAATTTAAAATTAAACAAATGAAAGAAATATATTTAAAAATATTTATTTAAATATATTTAAAGCAAACTCACAAAGCTGAGCTGGATATAAGAATAACAAATCGGTTTTGTAGGTAATGATGAATCTTGTGGTCAGTGAACCACTGTAGTTCAGTTTTAATTTTCTTAAAATATAAAAGCATTTTTTTCTAATCTCATGGAATATTCAGGAGAAAGTGCTTTCATATACTGTGGCAATATACATTTTGGATAAATATATATACACATGGGGAAACAACACTGTGATTTGATTAATAAATCATACTGGTTTACTTTTATAATGGAATTTAAAACTAGAAGTCATTTAATTCAATCTACTCATTTTATCTGTAACTTATGTTACTATATTTTATTATGGAATTTAAGTATAAATACATTCAAGTATGTATAAAGCAGATTAAATTAATATATGCAGTAATTGCAATCATGTATTAATCAGAAGATATATCACAACACAGGGGTGTATGAATGATCTATTCTTTGACACAAATTTAAAGTGAAAAAGGAGTACATATAATCACAAATAATGTTCCTGAGTTAGTAACCATCTCCTTATAATAGAATTGAAAGTCTCAAAAAAATCTCAAATTTTTATTTCTAGGAGAAACTATGCAACTTATTTGATGATAAATTTATAGTTTTTGGCTATAGATTTAAAAGTTAATAGTTGCCGTATATAATTATAATATGTACGTTATGTGTTTTGATAACATAAGCAACCCTAGTGAACACTCTGGAAAAGTTTTCCATTCTTAGTTTATATTTATTTTTTCAGAACATATTTTTTTCTCTGAGAAATGATGTGACAAAATATTAAGTTTTGTTTATATAATATAGAAAGTTTATTTGGTCACTAAAATCACACTTTTTATGAGATGTTAGCATTATCTTTTAAAAAGTAATTCACGTTGAAGCATTTGATGATCAAAATAGTACATGCTTAGTAAAGAATATTGAAAAGGAAGAAAAAGAAACAACTACCAGCATACCACAGAATAACAACACAGAATATATTTCAGTGACCTGTTGCATTAGGTATATTTCCCTTCTTCAACAAATTTCATGAGAACAAACAGACAGACAAAAGATATACACACACACATACACATACAGACATCTATACCTATGAATGCCTTATTGTGCATTCTGGCTCCCCTTTCTATGTTTCTGACCTTCAGCAACTCATTTAACTTCTTGATGATTTAGTGTCTTTGTCTTTAAGTTTAGTAATAATAACTATGGTATGGGTTTGTAAATATTGACTGAGGAAATAAGCCAGGGTTGGAGAAGTGTTTCTAGCATAATATAGGTTAATTATTACTGTTGTGATGATCGTCTGTCAGTTATTTCACATTGCCAAAGTTTTTTCATTTTTATCTGAGAAAGATAGTTTTTGTTAGTATTTGGTATTATTTTCAGTAAGCCACAATAAAACATTTTTTCTTTCTATGATAATGGTGGTTAGCAGAACATCTGAAAAATATGTTCCATGCAAAATGGATCTTCACACAGACTTATTTTGTCATTTCAGTTTGAGTTTTGAGAAATGAGTTCAGCATATCTGCCAAATCCTTTTATAAGATGCTGCATTCCTGTTTTTATTTTAGTTTATTTCATTTTTGAAAAGCTTTTCTTCTCCACCCTGCCCCTGGACAGTTAGGTCTCCTCTCCTCTCTTCTTTATCCTAAGCTATAATGTCACTGCTACATAACATCTTTAATAGCCAATCTAAAATGGGGGGGGGGAGGGTTGGAAAAGAATCTGTCACTGTGTTTTAACCATCACTCTATTAGTGTAGTTGGATTTAAAGCAAAAGCAACAAAACCAAAATTCTGTCTGACACTGAAAATATTGCAATTTGATAATGAACTTTTTTCTTTGCCAAATTTAAAATGACAGATTTTTTTTTCCCCTCTCTTAGTGCAGAAGGAGGCAGCAGGTTTGGGGAGGGAAATGATAGAGTAAAATAGCTGTAGAAGAAACAGTTTGCAAACATATGTTAATATTTAGATTCTTTTTTTTTGTAAGTGAAAAGTTAACTGGTTAATGCTTTTTTACAAACTGCCTTTGATACTGTGTTTTGTTTATTCCATCCCAGAAGAAGTTAGCGGTATACAGCAAGATGCAGGACTCTCTGGAAATCACCCTTCCCAGCAAACAAGAGGAGGAGGAGGAGGAGGATGAGGAGGAGGAGGAGGAGGAGAAAGACCAGCCTGCCGAGATGGAGTACCTTAACTCTCGCTGTGTCCTTTTCACTTATTTCCAGGGAGACATTGGGTCAGTAGTGGATGAACACTTCTCAAGAGCTTTGGGCCAAGCCAGCACCTTCCACCCAGAATCTGCCATTTCAAAAAGCAAGATGGGGCTAACCCCCCTATGGCGAGGTAAGAATTCAAAAGCAGATGCTGTCCAGGGCACTGTCTCTGTTACGCCACCGCCTGTACCAGGTTCCAGCTGGAGGCTTGCCCCTGGAGGACGGATATCCACTAGGTTTTTAATTTTTAAGGACAGCAAGGAATTTCTTTCAGACAAACAGCTGGATCAGTTTTGTCACATGTGGAATGCAGGATTGGAAAGGATGCAGTCACACCCCTTAAATTCCTCATGGAAAATAGTGATATAACTGAGCCTGAGTTTATAGTGGCTGTGAATGGAGCTGCAAAGCCCCATTGCTAAAGCCCCCATGGCCCAATTTGGATCTCTGAATAATAGGCGTGCCTGAATCAGCTTCTATTTAAAAAAAATAGCTTTTGCTCATTCCTCTACGTGTTACGTGGTGACCTAGTAGAGGTCTGACTCCGAAGGGAACACAGGTTTAAAGCCTTCTGTGTTCTTCCTGCAGCTTTTTGTTCTCTGTGGATTTATTATTCACTCTTTATAGAATACAATCTAGTCATCAAAAGAAGCATCTTTATGGTTTAATCTAATGTTTTTACCTTGATACACACAGAAAGCTTCAGATGAACTCTTCTTGATTGCCTTCGGTATGGAGGTAACAGAGTGTTTGCATCTGACTTCTGACTCATGAAAAATTAATTGTGTGACGTCTTAATCATGGTAATTACAAGGCTAGAGGAGAAAATACCATGTCCTTCCCATGATAGCTTCAGAGAGAAGGCATTACAGATATTTTCCCTCCAAATTACCTACTTATAAGAAGAATCTAATAAAGTGGTTCTTTACATCTGCTTGCTTTCCTTATTAGGAAGACAGACATCATACAGAAGTCTGTTAGAAATTCAAATTCTTGAGCCATGCCTTAGACCTAGAGTATCAGACACTCTAGCTTGTATTAAGTTAGCCTTTACAGCGATTTAGATGGAGAATAAAGTGTGACAAGTTCTGATCTAGTGCTGCTAGACATGTTGTAGGGTGCCTTGCCACAAATCCATTGCACCCACATCATACTCTATCAAATGCTCAGAGTGATCCTCTTGAAGAAGCCACCTGAAGTAGGCTCAGGTGAGCTGTGACTACTGGCTCCTCTCAATTTCAGAGGAATGGTTCTACTCTGTTGGACAGGTGCTGGCTTGCTTGCTAGGTCTGATTTGTAAATCAAATGTTTTTTTTCCCTCTTTCCCCCTTTTTGCTCTTTCCCTTTTCCTTTCCTTCCTCCCTGTCCATTCCCCTCCCAATTTTTCTCTGGCATACATAATACTTAATTGGTAAATACCATGGACTTTTTTCCAGAAACTGAGCGCTAAGATGCTTATGGAGTCATCTCATATTCTATTTAACAGCATATAGTAAATGTTAATAATTTGTAGGAAGTAAGAAATCCTCAATGAATCTTATAGTTTTACTAAATAGCCTGTTAATGATAAATTCTATGAAAACAATGTTTCACTAGAGTAATAAATGTGATGTCCACTTTAAAAACAAAACAAAACAAAAACCGTGTATTGCTCAGACTGGAAAGCAGAAATTTGGGCCCAAAATTATCCATAAAAGTTGTTTACAGCATTACAGTCAGTATAATTTACATATATTTACATATATACGTATAGATACGCAAAACCACTTCAATCCATGGGTACTCTTCATGGATGTATATATATACATATATATATACATATAACTTATTAGAATAATCAGAGATCTTTAAGCAGATGTAATATTTTAGTAAACATAGAGTTAATAGTGATGTTGTTTTAATGATTATGATAAAAGTTGTCTTTTATTTCATATCTTTTTCAAGTGTATCTCTTGTTTCATTCTAATGAAATTTATGTTGTACATAATTACTCTCCTACTGTGCAGTAAGTAGTATTCCGGATATGGGGACTAGAACAGCAAGTAGATTGACAGAAGCCTTCTGTCCACTTAATAGTTTTTTTTTTTCCCCTGGATGGTAGAGATAGTGAAAAACATACTGTGACCTGCAGGATGACAGTGGAAGCCTTATCTGAGATGGTTACATCTCAAGAGACCTGAAGAAAATAATATTCTTCATGTGAATATTTCCGAAAAAAAATTCTACTGAGGAGAACTAGCCAGAGTAAAGGACCAGAAGATGGGCTGAACTTAGAATGTTCAGTGAGGAACAGACATACCTTCGGTGTTTGAGGTGAAGTGATAGGACACATATTCTAAGGCATTTTGTCTCTTCCTCTCCCACTGAGACTATAAATACCCTATCTAGTTGGTTCATATCATTTTTCTCCAAGAAAATGGCTTTTTATGTGGACACTCTAAATAAAATGGATTGATTAGGTTTTTGGAGGTGAACTAAGTTGGTACCATGCACCTAAGATTAGAAAAATAAAAGTCTTCAGTAGAGGATTTTTTGGTACTATGCTGTCTGATATCTCTTGGTACAGTTTTCTCATTTATAAAACAAGTAATTGAATAAAATAATTGCTGTTTTTCATTGTGTAAAGTTCTGTGATTTCAAATGTATTGTTTACTTCTTATATGTAAAAAGAATTTGCTATTGCTTCTATTTGTGTCTTTGCTTTAAATCAACATACAAACTCGGGTATGATGCATGGGAGCCACAAAAGAAAGGTTGCAGAGACAGTGTAAGAATGTGAGTGCCATATGGTGTTGAGATGTAATTGTAAGTGCTAAAAACGACACAGGATTAATAGTGTAGTCTTTGGATCCTGCTCATTTTGGATTCAAGTCCATACCTTATTATTTGCAGGTTGCAATATAATCTTGGATTAAAATTTTAAAATCTCTCTGAGATCAAATTCCCTCACTGTAGTATGTGTTTGTTGACATTCTTCTAATGTTATAAATTTTTTGTGATAATGTGTGTGAATAATTTAGCACAGGATTTGGAACAAAGTATACAATTAAAGTCAGGTGCTTATTCTCTTTCCTTAAGTAAGTTTACACTCATTTGGCACAGAAAAAAATCTTGATTCTGTTCTAAAGCATTGCTTTGTGAAGCATTATTTAAAAAAAAATATCTTGGAAAAACAGGAGCTACAGGCTATCCATCTTGTTAAAGATAATAGCACTTTACAAAGGAGCTACTAAACACCAATATTAAATCATCTAGTGTGTAGCATGAAGTTATCACACACCCACTGACATGATACAGAGATACAAATGAACTAAGAACTGAATTATGTTTCATTGTAGAATAGATTAATAGTAAATGTTCAGGTTAATATACTGACATAGATAATGATATAGTAGTATCAAATTTAATGTGCGTTTTTTATGAGCTATGGACATTATCAGTACCAAAATTTGAACTCAGGGCTACCTGCTTGCTTAAGTTTGCTTGCTCAGCTAGTACACTACCACTTGGGCCATGTATCCAGTAAGCTTTTTGTTAGTTAATTGGAGATTCAGTCTAGTTCCACAGATTTTCTCTCTAGGCTGGCTTCAAACTATGAACCTCTATATCACAGCTTTTAGAGTAGCTAGAATTATAGGTGTTGCAACTGTCACCCAGCACTGAGAGGAAATATTTTTTTGTGCTCATTGGTAGAACCTCTTATCAGTTATCGCTAATTTTACTATACATTTTAATGAGTGGTAAATAGAGCTTTTCAGTTAAGAAAATGTGCTTGTCACCTTACACTATGCATCTGTTTTTCCTGAAAGTGTGTGTGTGTGTGTGTGTGTGTGTGTGTGTGTGTGAGTGTGTGTAAAAGATAGTGTTAGTTATCAAGGCATACCAAAATAGGTCAGAGATTTAAAAATTCTGCATATTGGTAAAATCACTGGAAATTTTTTTCTTGTAGTTTCAAAGCTAATTATCTATTGGTCGGCGGCTGTAATCTGCTTGTAGCATCTCAGTTATAAGGGGAAGACCCCCGCAAATGAATACTAAACTTCACCAGCCTGTAGGAGGAGATGCATGCTGATAAGCTGGCTAACTGGGAACAACAGAGCTGAGCGAGAATTCCAGGAGGCACTGGAAGACTCGATTTCAGGAAGTTTAGGAAGAACATGTGAAAGTGAGGTCCCACTGAAGTCATCCCAGTGCCCTCCGGGGGTCTGGGCAGCCCACACTACTCTAAATCTCTCCTTGGGGAGTCACAAGACCTATTTTGAGCAACTCTACAATAAAATAACCAGAGGCCATCTTTTGATGTACAAATCACACATACGTTTTGAATGATCGATAATGGAACAGAGATTTCATTTGACTTCTGATCCAATAGTTCGTTTTACTGGAAAGCAGAATAAGAGAATGGAACTTAAATTGTATCAAGAATTGTGTTGAGGATGTTTTCTTTAATGAGATCTTTTATGTAAAGGTTATCTTTAAATGCAAAGTATTTTTCATCCATATTTAATACAAAGGTTATGAAGATGATGAGTTCAAGAGTTGCATGTTCCCTTTTTAATTTTCTTTGTTTTCAAAATTAAATATTTTAAAATAATTTAGATTTTGATTTTTTTCTTCCTCAAAGTATTCTCTCTTCAGTTTTAAAAAAGAAATATATAAGGTTAATATGAAAAGCATCCCAAATTGAAAGAGGTATTTGATATCTTATGTTAAACTCCATTTTTCTTGCATACATTTCTGGTCTAAAGTTACTTAGTGATATTGTTTAGCATTCTCTCGATAGCTCGTCCTGGAAAATACTTTTTTTCCATTGTCTTTTTCATTTAGCAATAAATGTGTGTAGATTTGTGTATATGTGTGCTTCTGAGTGTGTAATCATTGTAAATCTCAAATGGGAACTGAACCAAATTATATTTAGGCTCTACATATATGTTTGACTATCAGAGCTAATATCATTGAAATATTATCGTGACCCAAATCTTGAATAGTAGTGAACCCAAAATTACCATAGAGAGTTTGGGTTTCCTTCCACCAACCTGAAAAAGTAGTATTGCATGGAAATAGCTAGTACAATTTTTCATATGTTTTTATATTCAACAATGTGGCTGTGATTAAGTACCCGTAAGCAGAGTCACATAATGAAAAAATTTACATACATATGAAATAAGCACACTGCTTCTCCAGCATGAAGCAAAACATGTCATCTGTTTTGTTGTGTAAGGAATTTTCTTTTAAATAAGCAAGATACCAAGTAGTGATTCTGGAGTATAGATTTCTGCATAATTATTTTCCACTCAGTATTGTTTCACTTATCTGTAAAGTGCAACAGTGTTTTTGGTAAAGGCATGTATAGATCTCTGGAGAATTTATAGTAATGGCTTATGCCAGCTGGGAAAATATTAAGTTGCTTTTAATTTTATTTTTTTCCCTCCAGGATTGTCAAGTGTTATTGTTCAATCTTTGAAAAATAGATTTCTACTTTCAATGATGATGTGTTCATTCTCTGCAACATGATAATTCATAAATAGGATTAGATTGTTTGGGGAAGGAATTTGTTCAATATATATTTGTGTGTGAAGGTCTCAAATTATAACAAATGTATATGACTGGTTCTATGTACATACAAACTAGAAGAGATGAAACATAAACACTCAGAAAAAATGGAATATTCTCTCTACTTTTGACATTTTGAAGCTGGGGGGAGGGGTGTTGGTGAATAAAGGGAACTCTGTCTCAGGCACATATTTGTGGTCTGGAGTTCAGTAGGTTTTATAATGGAATTCTGGTTGTACCAGGAGAGGGAAGTTATGAGCAGAATGAAGACTTGGTCCCAAAGATGAAATTTGTGATGGCAAAGTGATAAATTGGTGGTGGCCAAGCTGTGGTGTGTGATTCAGAGAACCCTCCATGAACTTAATGTGGGCTTTATGTCTTAATCATGATGATTTTCATTATTAGTGTAACAAAAATGTTCTACAAATTCCATTGCCTAAGACAAACTGAATTGTTTTTCCACAAGATTTGCAATTTTCCTTTTCATTAGCAGCATTTTTCATATGCCCACAGGAGGCAATGATTAAAGAAAACATATTTGCTTCAAGTAAGAGAACAACATATTTGAGATTGAGTTGAAGCACAATCTATTGATAGCTTTCTGGAAATGTCTGAAGATTTGATGAGTAGATAGTCTTATCTAATGCCTCCTTAACACCATTTTTTCCTGTTTCTGCAAATGATTTGAGAGCTACAGTTTTACTCTAAATTTTACTGTCAATTTATTTATTCATGGAACAAATAAAGAGAATGATGGTGATATTAGTTGTATTACTAGTGCCACAACTTGTATGAAAATTAGAGAATATGACAGCACAGTGACAGCCTAGTTATACTAGTTTCATGATATATTTGGTGGTTGATTTAAGTTATTTATGCTTTTCCCTATGGCAGGAAAACTGTCTCTTAGAAATTTATGAAGTGAAATGATAATGTTAAGCTTTTGAGTATTCCTAATTCAGATCACTCCTAGAATATCCTTGATTCAGTGAGAAGACCTAGCAAGGTTTTTTTTTTAATATGGAATCAATGTGAAAATACATGTATTACTAATACCTTTAGTGGCTATGTTCAGCTATAACAAGGAACAATCAATAAGGCACTCAACAGAATACTAGACTCTGACTGAAAAACAATAATTTGAGTGTAATGCATTTCAGCACTAAACTTTTTTTGGAGAAGTGGGGTTTGGGGAAAGAGGCAAAAGAATCATTATGTCCACTTGTAGTCCATAAGGTGTGAGCTGGCGTGATTAATTTTTGGCCACCTACACAAAACTAGAGACAAGAGATTAGAGACATGGTCACTACAGGTGAACATATGTGGATCTTACTCTACACTAACTAGATTAAAATCCTTTGAAGATTCCCCTCAGGGAATAGAATTATATTCAGTACTCTGGACAGAAAGATCACACTCTTCTGAGGCCTTTGAAGCCCTACAGTCTTATAGACTTTACTTTTTGGTCACTTACTTCCTAATGAACAAATTTTAGTCTTTAAATGATGTGCTGCTCTCACTACTGTATGTAGGCCTGTGTGAGTACTGTGTGTCTGCACACATATTTATATTTACATGTGTGTACATATGTAACTCTCTCCTCCTCCTTTACAGGATTACCTACTATGGAACCTTTCAGCTTTAACAATTATCACTTTGTTAGGCTGTTCCCAGGTTCTTTATCTCTGCCTTCTACTTGACCACACTTTATCTGCCCTCCTCTAAATAAAAATGATGTCTAGGCATCCCTGACCCTATGTTTGTCACATAGTAGGTTACCCATACATGTGATGATGAGGATATTAAGTTGATAGGACTGATGGAGTTGCAGAGAATTCTTCCTGTTCCTTCCTTATAACTATAATTTGTTATTTCCAACTCCTCATAACCTCTAAACCTATAAGCTTCCAAACCCATATGCTATACTGGAATCTCCTTACAATATTATTTCCACAGAATTGTCATAAATTCCAGAGGTTCAGGGTACATTTTTAATTGTACCCTCTGGTAGTTATGAAGTCTTTTGATCATTGAGAGAGGCTATTTGGATTGTTCTTACCAGTCTTCCTTAAACTGTTTCTCTTAAACTATTTCCTTATCACTAAAATGGATTGGATAAAATAACTCCCTCTTGACATTGGTGGGATTCTTGACTGAGATCATCTGTGAAAAGTCCCTGACCTGGAGTTGAAAATGTGGTGATTCTCATCATGTTAACCACTGTTATTCTGAGTTCGTAGACCGATAGGTTTCCCCAGGAGAAAAATGAAATGACATACAATGTTAGTGGTAAATAAATTGGTGAGCACAATTAAAGATGATCTTGATGCTATTTGTTACTATTGGCATTGGAAATATTTGACTAAAAACTATTTTTTTTATTAATCTTTTTTGTTTTTTTCGAAGGGAAAGGCCTGGGAAAGAGAGCTGGGAGAGCCGGGAAAGAGAGAGAGCTGGGAAAGAGAAAGAAAAGACCTAGAAAAGGGAGAAAAGAGCTAGAAAAGAGAGCATCTGGGAAAGAAGTGGGAAAGAGCAAGCTAGGAAAGAGAAGAGAGCTGGGAGAGAGAAGAGAAGGAAAGAGCTGAGAAAGAGCTAGAAAAGAGCAGAGAGAGCCTAAAAACTATTTTTGCTTAACCAGGGTGGATAAAATTATTCCCAATCAACACACAGCTCACCTTTGGCATAACCATTCTTTATTGGAGAAATGTGCAGCTATGTCATCTTTCAGGCTTAAGGCCCATGTGACTCCCATGAGGCGGCAAAACTCTTCAGTTCTCAAATTACAAACCCAGGACAGCACAGGCTGAATGATCAAATGTGGAGTGGATGTTAGGAAGGGGAGGAAAGGGAGAATTCAGCTCTTGGAATTTTGACTACTATGCTAGCATGGAAGCCCAGAGGTTAATGTATCAGTTTACCCCAAGCGGAGAAAGAAAGAGTGCATGCTAATGCACCTGCTTATAAAACATGTTCAGGCAAGTAAAGACAAGTCTGCCCCAGAACTGAATCTTACATAAATAATGTGTTTTCTGTCTTCTCAGACAGCTCAGCTCTCTCAAGCCAGAGGAGTAGTTTCCCAACTTCTTTTTGGACCAGCTCTTACCAGCCCCCACCGGCACCCTGTTTGGGGGGTGTTCATCCTGACTTCCAGGTCACCGCACCCCCTGGCACCTTTACTGCAGCTGACCCCAGCCCCTGGCCAGGCCATAGCCTGCATCAGACTGGCCCAGCCCCTCCCCCTCCCACGTCTGAGTCCTGGCACTATCCTTTGGCATCTCAGGTGAGCCCGTCATACAGCCACATGCATGATGTATACATGCGGCACCACCCGCATGCGCACATGCACCACCGCCGCCACCACCATCACCACCACCACCACCATCACCCTGCAGCTGGCTCTGCTCTGGATCCATCCTATGGGCCCCTGCTAATGCCATCAGTTCGTGCGGCCAGGATTCCTGCTCCCCAGTGTGACATCACAAAGACAGATGCGACCACAGTCACCACTGCTACCTCAGCGTGGGCTGGAGCCTTTCATGGAACAGTGGACATTGTACCAAGTGTGGGGTTTGACACAGGTGAGCTGGCAGCTGCCCTTCTTTCTATCAAAAGAAGAAAATGGTTAAGAAATAAGAAACGATGCCATGTTTTGCTTAAATTCATTTTGAAATAGCTTTCCCTCTTGTATAGGGTAAGTTAAGCTTTGTTTTGTAGATGCTAGTCATTTTGCAATATTTGCATTCTTGTGAAAACTGGTATAACTAGCTTATGACTGAGGAAAGTCTCAGGACTTTTCTCCTATCTTTGAGATTGGAGATAGGTTCCTTTGAACTGAATCTCTGGTTCCATATGTTTATAAACAAGTAAAGGCATTCCTTATATCTCCTATATCTTTGTGCTCAATACCTTGTACAATGCCCAGGAGAATTTGTATGCCTCAGTAAGTTTTATGTTGTTTTTATCTTATTAGACCTCACTCATGAGTTTTAAACAAAGTACTTTCTGGAATGTCATCTATAGTTTAGTCCTTTGAAAAAAGGATAAGGAAACATATTTTAAAAGAATGTGTTTTTTTCTTTCTTTCTCTTCTCTTCTTGGGTCTTTCCTAACCTTGATATCCTTAACTTTCTTTCCTCCCAAATACCTCTCTTTAAATAAAGCAAGAGTTAAAAGACTACTATAAAATTTATTTACAATAGATTTTTAAAAGATGGTAAGGAATACACTTCTTCAGTGTATTCAGCTCTATGGAATTCACTAGTCCTGAAGGTGATAGTATTAAATGCTTGAGCTTAAATCTTGGACCAGATGGGAGATATAGTAATAGTAGTAGTAATAATTCAGAGTTTATGAAATGAAAGTATCAGACAATATACAATATTCAATATATATACCTGTATATATGTATATATACTCGTGTATATATACATACAATATATACATATATAAATATATTTTTGAAGTGGTTATATTCCCAGAGTCTACATTCCAGTGTTACCCATTTCAACTTAAATCCCAAGTTCTTTACTTAACATACTTTGTGACATAAAACACACTATTAAAGATACTTGTTCAGTTTTTAAATTTGCAGTGTAAATGATCCCTGAGTGTTGTTGATTCATAACAGAGCACTCTAGATGGTCAAATGTTTGGTATCATGCTCCATTCACACTTATGAGTGGAACTTTCTTATTTTGTCAGGTCTTCTCTACTGAGTTTTCATCTTCCTTTTGAGTCTCTGCTTTTCCAAAATATTTCCACGTGTGGTAGACCAAGACTGTATCAGGGAGTGGGTCTTGATTTCTAGGCTATGCGTGTTCTGGGTCTAGTAAACACAGACTTTCTTCCTTTGTCACATCCAAATGAAGCAACTCTTGAGTCATTCATGCCTGTAGTCAGATATTATTGAAATCTCACTTTAGGGGCTGGGAAGGTGGCTCAGTGGTAGAGCGCTTGCCTTGCATGCCTGAGGCCCTGGGTTCGATTCCTCAGCACCACATAAACAAAAAGAAAAAGCCGGAAGTGGTGCTGTGGCTCCAGTGGTAGAGTGCTAGCCTTGAGCTGAAGAGCTGAGGGATAGCACTCAGGCCCAGAGTTCAGGCCCCACGACCGGACCCCCCCCCCCCCCCCCAAAAAAAGAAATCTCACTTTAGTCATCTCCTTTGTGGATGGCCAATCTGGGACAGTATCATCAGCTTCACATCCATGGTACCTGTGGGGCCTGAGTAACTGCTTTCAGCAGGAAAAGGGTGTTTTCTCTTTCTGTATTCTATCATTAAAAGAAGTGTACATGCTACTTATTGCTCTCCATTTTTAATTATCTGTCATCTTTGGACTAATATCTATGAACTGCAGAGTGAGTTTGATTCACTCATTATTCAGATTGCCAGCTTGTTGTCAGGATGAAAAGCCTTATTCTTACCTCTCAAAAGTGTGTTTTTGTTGTAGGATAATCTTAAGAGGATCCACTTGGGTGTATTTTAAAGTATATTTTTAGTCAGGTCTGCAGCACCTTTTCATGTTAGTTATTTACTAGGTAGGCTCTAATTTTAGGCTGCATTCAACTACTATCTTCCTATTTGTGTTTCCCCATGTCATGGGAGATGACAGGCACATGACATGGCTCCCAACCAATAGGCACAAGCTACCATGTGACTCCTCGGTTGAGGTGGAACTAGATTACAGGCTTGAACCACTATTCCCCAAAATATTTGTTATACTTATTCACCCATGAATTAATTTTTATTGAACAGACACTATATAAGGAATTATCCAAGGAAAATCTACCTATCTACATATCCAGTTCTCCATAATTATTTATTTACATACATATATGCAAATTAGATTTCCAAGTTGATCCATTTCTATCTATCTATCTACCTACCTACCTACCTATCTATCTACGTACCTACCAACCTATGTATATAATCTATGTATATAATCTCTATCTATCTATCTCTATAACTATATAGCTTATATAGCATTATAACCTAACCTTAGATTTGAACCAAGACTTGTCCTCCTTTAAATAATTACTGGAGTAGAAACTCCTTTTGTATTCATAGAAAAAAATTAGGTAAATGATAATGACACAATGGTTAATAATGATGAATGAAGTATTTTTTACTTGTTCCTTTGGCACAAAATGTTAGGAAATCCTAACTGTTAAGGAAGTATACATGATGCTTTTGTGAAGTTTGAATCAAGAGTGCCTTATGGGACTAGCCGTGTTTGGCAGGGTTTATTGGTCATGCCTACTTTACTGACATGAACTTCTGTTTCTTGAACAGACTTTGTGAATAGTTAACTTACAATTAGTGTGTTGATATGATTCTAAGTCACCTGTATCTCCTTGAAAAACCACCCACATTCCCAAAAGTCTTTTGTCACAGATATCAGCTTACACTACTTCCCTTTATTATTAACTGGCTTCTATGAGTCCCATGGGAACAGTAATTCCAGAATGTGAGATTAATTGAATAAATAGAAAGATCTATTGTCAAATAAATTTGACAGCATTGCCTAATATATACTTCCCTTAGAAAGTACCATCTGCTTTAACATTTAAAAAGCTTTTTTACATGTTAAATTTGTTTAATAGGAGATTTTTTCCACTATGGTTTTTCTTACGAGCACATTTTGTCTTTAGCATATTTACTAGCTTCTTATAGAATGCTTTTTGGCTCATTTAGCTTTTTTTCATAACAAAAGACACCGTTTTAAACTTTGATTTGTAACTTTCAGCTCTGGAGTTTAAGAAGTTTAGGTGGGCCTGCCATAAATGTATAATGGTAAGAGAAGGAAGGGGGCCAGGCGCTGGTGGCTCACGACCGTAATCCCAGCCACTCAGGAAGCTGAGCTCTGAGGATCCCCTTTCAAAGCCAGCCCAGGCAGCTCCAATAAGCTACCAGAAAACAGGAAGTGGTGTTATGGCTAAAGTGGTGCTGAAGAGCTGAGGGACAGCATCCAGGCTCAGAGTTCAAGCCTCATGAGGGAATATCTAGCTTCAAGAATCCTTAGAATATTGTATGGATCCTTTGTGTGTTAGGAATAAGACATCTAAATGCAAATGTTTACAGCTGTGCCAGTGTTACAGACTTATGAATATGATAATATGCATCCTTTTCTGCTCAAAGCTTTTGGTGATGACATTAAGTAAATGCTGATGTGCTATTCACCTTTCACTGGTCATAGACGTTCAATGCATTGTATTGAAATATTGTTATTCTGCCTTCCTGTTATAATCTCATGTAGCTTCACTAATATAAGGCATACACCCTCATATTTCTTGATCCATTCAAATTAATTTTTACACAGAGATTTGTTAATGATACCTTTGACTTAACCACAAGGGTGACTTTGTAACTTTCACTTCATTCACTGCATTTTAATTTTATCAAAGTAAAAGAATCATGCTTTGTGATGGGACATCTCTATAAACTCACGCTGGTCATAGCTTGAAATTGTATTCATCAGTAGAGCCACAGATTTATTTTAGGAAACCTCATGCTATCTTCACTACAGTTTTGTCATGGATTTAATTTTTTTGTGAGGAATGTCACACTAGTGTAGCTTAGAATTTACATAAACAACTTAGATATGTGCTATATGTATTATTTTTACTGACATATTTAGGTAACCTAAAATTAAAACTCAAAACCAAACATTCTGTACTATCTCAAGGTTCATGAAATCTGGTGCTAACAAGGAATAAAACCATGTTGATGTTGTTCTGGCTTCTCCAAAACATATTTTAGGAGTGTTAGCCATAAATGTGTGCAAGTAAATTCAACGAGGGAATCATTAGATGAGCTTTCCTTGAACTATGATGATAGATAGAAAGTACAAATCATCTAGTTCATCTCTCCCTAACCAAAATATTGTCAGATATCAAGTAAAAATCAAGATTGTGCATCACAGAACATTGGTTTTTGCCAGGCAGAGAAAAACAAAACTACCATAGTTATTAGATCCACACATTGCTTGTGAAATGAAGGTTGTGAAATTTTCCATAAAAACAGGAGGCTAGGTTTCTAGAACTTTGTTGGATGTTGACGTATAAAATAGATTATTTCTGAAGAGACTTTTAATGTCACTTTGCCTCACTCTGAACTGTAACTAAAATTACTCTTTCATCAAACCTGGAAACCTGCTGACTTAAATGTTGCTGTTAGGAAGGGAGCAAGGATACCACCAAGGAAGTTGGAAGTACACAAATATTCTTATCTATTCATTTCTTTTCATAGATACTTTGCGTCTTTTAAATCAAAGTTTAAAATTTATAGGAGTTTTATGTAGTTTAATCTGAACTTTATAGTTCATATTTTGGGAAAGGAACTTCATTTACAAATGACAAAAATTAATATTAATGCTCAAAATTGTAGTTTAGTGGAGCACGTGTTTAGCATAGGCAAAGCCTGGATTCCAATATGAAGTACCTCCCACAATTTGCTAGGTAATGTATAATGTTCATTTGGAAACAGGCTGAACCACTGGTTAAGATCATAATGGTCATTACTGTAAGGAGGCTTTGCAGTGAAATCATTGACAACAATGTACATATCTTTATTTTATGAGA